CGCCGGTGCCGCCGGGCGGGGCCGCCCCTGCCTATGACATTTGTGCAGATCCAGCTTGCGCAGAGGCCACCCTGCAGAGATGTCCCAGCTGGTGCCTTCGCCTGGCTCTGCTGCTGCTTGTGTCACTGTCCTGCTCAGCTGCGCCTGGCTTGGCTCGGCCACCCAATTCTCTCCAAGTAAGTGCCGTGGTGGGTCTGGAGGGTGATAGAGCAGGGCAGGGAGACTTTGCTGGGACACCCCAACATCATGTCCTGTGACACTTAGAGGGGACAGCTGGGTGTCACAGTGAAAACTCAGGGCACCACTCTACTGCCTTCCCTGGGTGTCCACATTGAAAACCAAAGTGAAGACCTGAAACTCTGCCACCCCTTCCCTTCCAGCAACAAAAATGAGGTCACTGCTCTCGTAACCTGAATTTCCCCTGTCCCCTGGAGGGACAGAGGTGGCAGAGGTTTTGGGAAACCTGTTGGATGTAACCAGGACACTGGTTACATGTCAACAACCTGGATGGAGCTTTAGGAGCCGGGGGTGACAAGCAGGGGAGCAGAGCCTGGCTGTGCTTTTAGAGCAAGACAGAAAGGGGATTTGATCATGAGTGGTTTGTCTGGTGTCCCGGGACTTTCCTGTTCTTTGCTTTCGTTCTGAGTGTGCAGCGAAAAGCCTCTGACCATGGGGGAGGCATGGGCAGCCCCCGGTGGGCTGGGCTGGGGGGCTCCCCAGGAGGAGGAGGAGGAGGCAGGAGCCCTAGTGGAAGAACATCTCCCATTCTGGCACTGGTGGCCGTATCCTGACTGTGTCCTGGCTTGGGTTTCCCATCTGCCCTTTTGATCCCATTGGGTTGTGGGGGACACATTGTGCTGGGGTCAGTAGGAGAAGGGATGCTGGCAGAGCTGCGTGTCCCTGCGGTGACACTGCCGGGTGAGCGTCGAGGGGGGTGCAGGATGTGGCATGTGGCTCTGTGTGGCGAGGGCGGCAGGATGTTAAGGGCTCCTGTGTCCCAAGCTGCCCATGCCATGGGGCAGGGAGATGCCAGCACCTGCATTTGCTGGTGTCTCTGCAGGGAGGGGTGACAGCTCCTGTGTGGTCCCCAATGGGAAGGGGCAGTGGGAGAGGGCTCTTGGCTGAGCCTGATACCTTGTGTCCTCCACAGTGCGTGACAAAGGGCGAGTCTTGATCCCACTCACTCCCCAAGAAGAAGCCACGTGCCCCAAGGCCTCTGTGGAAGGTTTTCTCAACAGCACCCTCACCACCCGCCTCCTCCCTGCCCTCTACTCTGTGGTCCTGCTCGTGGGGCTGCCAGCCAATGCTCTGGCCTGCTGGGTCCTGGTGACCAACTTCAGGAGATGTTCCAGCACCCTCTTCCTGCTCAACCTGGCCACTGCTGACCTGCTCTTTGTCCTCCTGCTGCCCTTCAAGATCTCCTACCACCTCTTGGGCAATCACTGGCTCTTCGGGGACTACTTGTGCCGCACCATGGTGGCCTTCTTCTATGGGAACATGTACAGCTCCATCCTTTTCCTCACCTGCATTGGCCTGGAGCGCTACATTTCTGTGGTGCACCCATTCCTGTGGAAGGGCTCCAGCTGGACGCGGGGCAAGGTGGGCATCTGTGTGGGCATCTGGCTGGTGGTGGGGCTGGGCATGAGCCCTCTGCTTTTGCACCGCCAGACAAAGGACATCTTGAGCCTGAACATCACAACATGCCATGATGTCCTGGAGAAGGAAGAACACATGTTCTTTGTCTATTATTTCCTTTTCCTGGTGGGGCTGGGCTTTGGCTTGCCTTTTGTGCTCATGACCATCTCCTACAGCTGCATCCTGGCACGGCTGCTGGCCAAGGGGAAACGCTATGGGCAGGTGGTGCGTGTCCTGGCCCTGGTCATCCTGGTCTTCATCCTCTGCTTCACCCCCAGCAACGTGCTGCTTTTCATCCACTACATGCTGGAGGCCACAGGGTGCCACAACGTCACCTATATCTGGTACGCCCTGGCCCTACCACTTGGTGCCTTCAACAACTGCTTCGATCCCTTTGTCTACTTCTACATCTCCCAGGATTTTCGGGGCTGGATCCGGGATGCAAGCGGCTGCTGCCCAGGGAACATTAAGACCTCCGTGGGGAGGACCTCAGAAAAGACAGCCTTGCCCCTGAGGTCCAGCGAGCAGAGGCAGATGTAGGCAGGGCTGCAGGGGCACCGGGCTGTATCCCCTGGCCCTGGAGAAGGGGGATCCTGCAGGTCAGTGCCCAGTACGAAGGGATGTGCTACTCAGCCTGTGCCATTCCAGGCTAGCAGCAGACTGGGGCAGAAAATCCCTCCTGGACCTGAAGTTTGCCGGGACTTTACCCCAGTTTTGCATTTCCCCTGCAGGATTTCCAGGCATGACCCATTCCCAGCACATCCCCATCCCAGGGGGCATCAATGGGCTACCTGGCCCTGGCACCCAGACTCCCTGCCTGCTGCACCGTGGCACCCCTCACCACTCCTCCCACAGTAACCAAACCCTCCAGAGTACAAATAAACCTTTATTTCTCCCTGAAAACCAGGACATAGTGGAAGGAACAGGTATAAACAGCCCAAGTGAGCAGGAGCCATCCTCCATCGCCAGGACTACGTGCCGGGCACACATGGCCAGCCCTGCTCCTCTTGACCTCCCCCCAAAATATGCCATGGTAGATGCAAGAAGGGAAGTGGGGGACGGCTTGGGTGTCCTGACCCTGCCTCACGGGCCCAGTACTGGGGAGGGGACATGGTGCAGTGTTCCCTTGTGCTGGCAGGCACTGCATGCCCCCCTGCCTGGCACTGTGCCATGCTGCCGAAACATGCAGGCGGGCTTTTATTTTCCCTTTTACTTGTTTCCTTGGCAGTTGGCCTGACGGCAGATGTACCACTCATGAGCAAGAGCACATGTGGCAGCATCCCCAGCCCTCCCAAGAGGGGGTACCACCCCTCAGCATCCTGGTCCCCATTAGTCCCCTGGTCCCCACCAGTCCCTGCTCCCAGCTCGGATGAGGGACAGGAGGAGGAGGAGGGCGTGGGCTCCATGGTGTGAGCATGGGGTACCCCTCATTGCTGCCACCAGGCACGACTTGACCCCCAGGTCACTGGCTGTCCCTTTGGCCTGATGGGTCACGTCACCGGCTGGCCTGGCCCTGGCGGCTGGCCCTCGTTCTTCCTGAGTATGACGCTGCTGAGCTCCTGGATGAGTTTGTTGTTGATGGGTGAGGGAGGCTGCACGTTCCTCTTCCTGGAGCTCTCCAGGGAGGTCTCTGCACTGGGACTGCTCCCTGGCATGGCTGCCTGGTCCCAGTCCCTGGCCAGCGCCAAGGAAGGTTC